GACATAGAAATGTATAATCTAGGCTAAAAGATGAAGAATTTTAGTTAGTGTCTAACTCTACTAAATCTCCTTGTAGCCATTAGCTATTAAACATCATGTCACCCAGACTTAGAGCTTGAATTATTTTCCTAAAATTGCTAACACAGATCTCTTCATAGTGTCTCATAGTCTATATTGCCTGGTTCACATTTTTCAAAACTCCAGTAAAAAGGAAACAACTTAAATGGCCTACTCTTGCACACAATCTCTCTCTCTCCATTTTACAGCTCCCATTTTATGCAGGCTTGTCAGAGCTTTCTGAATGAAATGTGACTTAGGGCCTGCGCTTTCTGACTGAAGAGGCTCATAGGTCCTATAGCTCATCGACAATCTTGTACTTGAGCTGCCAAGTATGAGCGATGGGCACCAAATTCAAGCCAACATAGCCCTTCCCAGAAGTCTCCCTTTGACAACTCCTCCTTGTCAAATCCAACAGTTTACATAGGATATATAGTGAATAAAGGACCCTGAAAGATGAGAATGTAGAGGTGCTGCTTCTGCTGATAGCAGGAACACCTATCAACTTCCCACAGGGCTGACTTTTCAGGCTGGCAAGGGGATGATGATCACAGGGTTTGGGCTCTGCTGCTTCTGAATGGGTGGCAGAGACTCTCAAGGCAAATCACCTCACTTCTTACCACCTGCCTCCAAGAACAGTCAGCACGGTGCAATGATGCAGGGTTAGCATTTGCAAAATAGGACCAGGACACTTGCACGAATGGTTTACGGAACTCATGCAGGAGTCCCCAGTCTTGAGTGTCTAAGCATTCAAGTTTAATTCTTTGGGCACCAGGAACTCCATGATCTTTTCTCTACTCTGGAGAAACCATGGCTTTATAATCACCAAATGCAGAGAGAGAGGGAAGTTGCAAGAAGCACCTAGCTACTCCCCCTAAGGAGCAAAAGCTGTGCAATTATCCTTTGATAGGAACATACTCATTGAACATGCATAGACATGCAAAGGTGCTTGCTTCCAAGCTAGCAAAAGCCAAGATCAGCCTCTTTGTGTATTAACATGGTGAAAAGAAGAATATTTGGGTCATAAAAGTGATTAGATACCAGGGAAATAGAGAGAAAAAAAACCCCACAAAGATAGGCATGAACTAAGCCTATCTTGTCTAAGCTCCCACAAGGGTGGATTGTTTGGGTCATCATTCTTGTTCTTATCAGTCCTACTTGCAAAGCTCCTGTAAGTAGGGATATGAAGGCAAGATGCTGCCATCCCATGTTTAGTACCATTCATGAGATCACTTCTATTTTTAAATGCATGTATCAGATTATCTTAAGTTGTATATCATTTCCATTTCATTTGTAGAACTTTCTCTGGTCTAAATCCACGCTAACCAAACAAGCTTTTGGTGCCACAAAGACTACAATCATGTGCAGAGCATTAGGTGTGGCGTAACTTTGGTGTACTCACTTAGAGAAAACCATCAGAAGCTTCCTGATCATGACTTAGTTTCCACTGACAGCTTGTCCACTAGGGCAGAATCACCTGAGCTCAGGATTCAGCCACCTGATAAACAAGAAAATTAACACGATGGAGTTTCAGTGAATTCTCTGTCATTCTGACTTATACTCTAGTCTCATCTATAGTTGGTTTATTGTAAGTTTACTTCTCAGGGACTATCACACCAAGACCTTGATAGAATAAGTCTCTGAACCTTTAAAACAGAAGGATTCATCCCTTTGGCATTCATTAGATAAGACTTTCCTCAATCTTATTTTAAATGCAGAGCCTTTGGATAATTTATGAAATTCTGAGGTCCCACTGTCATCCTTCCAAAGGCTTAAGTTGAATAAGGGAATCTTATGGTTGTTACTCACTACCTGCTAAGAAAATTCTACTTTCATATGTGGCATCATACAAAAAAAGTTTGTTTTAAATAATAAAGAACTAGTGTAATAGACATATCCACTCATAAACACACACACATCCCTGTGTATAGCCCTCAGTTTCAGAAGTTTTGAGAAAACATGCTTCACCCATACGTACCCCATTTGCATCAAGCCCTCATCCATCAAGTTCCTGTCTTTGCCCAGCCAATGCCTCTATAAGAATTATGGACGTATTCTCCCACTTTCTGCATTAGAACCTTGACTTGTGGTGGAGTTGGTTTCAGGTGGGAGAGAAGATAGGAGTCATGATCAAAGGGAGATAGTGAAGAAGTTATTTTTTAGCTACTAAGTGTTTATAATGGTTGGTCTTGGTGTGGTGATGGAGCTGACCATGTGTGGCTGTGTGTGCGCGCACACACCAATGTGACTTCTGTGCCCCTGAATGAGAATGCATATGAAAAAATTAATAAAACACAGGGGAGGAAAGAAGCACAAGGGACTATGGCGATGGGGCACAGGTGACTTGGGAATAGGAATTTTTACAGGAGCTACACCTGAGAAAGCAAACATGGTATAAAAATGAACAACGATATAAAACATATACAAGTAAATAGATCTAAATAAAAATAAATAAAGCAAAATATTTGCTTTCAAAGAGTTCTAATGAAGTGCAGAAACATGCATATATCCACCATGCCCCCCCTCCCCTGCCCCACAGAAGCACCCAGGCAAACCATGCAAACTCTTTCCACATCTTTCCGCCACAGGCCTGAGACACTTACCACACAGTTGGCACTCTAGAGCCACCGTGCCATGTGGGCAGTAGGGGTTCCTTGGTGCAGGATACCACAGGCCAGTAAATGTTCCTCCCCTTCATCTGCCTTCTCCACTAAAACAGCTGCACAAGGACTTGTGAGTGAAAATTCAGTTAGAGACCATTTGAAATTTTCTTTATAACTATTACTTAAACTTAAATTTAGAAATTGAAGTGGGAATTCTGTAGACACTCTCAAAGTTTTCTTAAGCATTTTCTGCATAGTTCTTGTAGCTCTGATAATACAAAAGTGAAGGTCTGTTTCTCCCCCGTAACTGTATTAGACAAATGGATAACCATGACCATAACCCTATCTATTCCGAAACTGTGGTGAAAAGCATTGCCAGGGAAGTAGATATTACAAAAAAAAAAAAAAGAGAGAGAGAGAGAGAGAGAGAGCTGAGAAAGAGGGAAGTAATGATGGTTAAATATCTCTCACAAAACTAGGGTTAACTCAGTTAATCAAATCTTTATGGCTACTTTTTCCAAATAACTTGTTCATGGAAAACACGCCATTGTCTAGAAAAGTTTTCTAATATGATTCACAGATGTAGATGATTTAATTTTCAAATAATGTCACAGTTCAGACAGGCTGAATAAGCTGTTCCAGTTGAGAACAAGGCAGAAGTGTGTGTGTGTTGGGGATTGAAAGGGGTGGGTATGTGTGTGTTTATTTATTTATCTAAATTTTGAATTTTGAACTTTCACTTCTGACCTTGTAGTCTTTTCCATTTATCACACCACATAGCTTTCTTGAAGCCAGACCCATGATCTGTAAAGTATTTTTAACAAGAGTAATTTACCGAACTCTTTATAGTCTATTTTCCAAGAGATTTTGTTCAAAGATTAAAAGAGTTGCTCAAATATGAAACCCGAAAGTGTTATACAAAGACTGTTCCTTTATGTGGTAAACAATGATGAGGCCTACTAAAAGCTCGACTTGACATATATTGAAAATTAAGATTAATGAAGCAATAAAGGCTCTCCCTGGAGGTGCAGCAGGTTAAGGCACAGCAATGCAAGCTAGCTGCAGCTGCTTCAGTGCTAGTTCAATTCCCCACCTCAGAGGTGACCCACATGGCATAGCAGACCTCTCCTGACCCGCCTGCTCCCCTCAGCAGTGTACTTTGTCGATCTGCCTGTTCTGCTTGCTCCACACTCTGTCTCTGGTGAATCCTCTCACTGCCCCTGCACCTCTGGCCTTTATCCCAGTTCTGTATACATAAATAATTCTTTTAAAAAAAAGACCAATGAAATGATAGAAAGAAAACTAATAAGCATAAGAAAAATATTGGTATTTTAAAAGTTCATTCTTTATTATAAATATCTACACATAATTCCACATAAGACAAAAAAGACAAAATTTGCATATATGTATTTGTGTTTGTAGATTTGTATGCTTATATATCTATTATGATTTTTTTATGTTGACATAGTCATGTCTGATTGTAAAAGCAAAATGAAGTATCACTGGATGCTAGGACCAATGAGTCTAAGTCTGAGGAACAGTCTCAATTTAATATCCCACATATGATTACTAAAGTAAAAATAAACCTTTATGATAGCCAACCTGGTGGTACTATCTTACTAGATGGATCAAATTTTACATCACAATGATGTGGCATATTGAGATTATATATGTGTGGGTGTGTATGTATTATACATAGGTGTGTGTATACATATATATATATATACATACACACACACACACACACACACATACCTATGATGTACTGTAATGTGAAGGACACATCATCAAAAATGGTTTCTCTGAATCTAAGAAAGAAAAAATAATAGACAAAACAAAGACAAATTAAGGTCTATGAATCAATCAACCCATACTCTTCAAAAAAATGTCAATCATATAAAAGAAAAAAATAATGAAGAATGCTTCCACTTTATGAAAATTAGGAATGACAGTAGAATGTAGTTGGTTTTGTTTAATTTCAGTATTAAAACATATAATATTATAACTAAAATAGTTATAAAAGATATTGTTGGAAAATTAGAGGAATTCAAGAAAGGACTACTTATTAAAAGTGGTGCTGTATTAATAGTATATTTTGGGGTGTAAAAATAGATGATGGATATTTGAAGATTGTCTTGTCATAGAAGATCATAAAGTATTTCAGAGTAAGATATCATGAGACCTGCAACTTATTTTCAAACTGTTCAGAAAAACACGGATTGAGTTAAAACTAAGGTGGTAAAATGTTAGCGATTGGTAAATCTAGGTAAGAGGTTCATTGGATTATTTTTTACATCTCCAAAACCTTTAAAACTAAAAGTTGGAAGAAATAAAACCAAATAAAACTCTTTATATTCTTTATTTCATTTGCCATTTCACCAATATTGAAATATAGGCTTGGAGTACATACATTCTTTTTATAGATTTAGAATGTGAGAGGCTGAATGAATGTTACAAATTATAATAAAAATTTACAACACAGCATATAACAAAAGACTGAAAAGCACATTCAATTTCTAGTGCAAATACAAAACAAGAATAAAGGCTGATGATGATGATATTAATATTCAAAATAGATTTTTCCCAGTTCTTAATTTCTCTGCTCCCCCTTACTTAAAAATCTAAGAAAATAGCCACTATAAATTGAAAATAAAGAATTCAGAGAAAATAATTGGCTCATGAGTTGTAGGATTCTCTTTACAGGTACAATTTATTCTTCAGCAACCTGTAAGCCATTGAAAGGGTAACTCCATAGCCAACAAAGAAAGCCAAACCTCGGTTTGGCTGAGGGAGGGTTAACAAATAAGCAATTGTGTGGTAGAACCTGGCTCCCACGAAGAGTCTGAAGTGGAGGATGGCTGTAGACAAATCCGGCCCACTCAGGGAATACAGAAGGCCAACCCCAAGGAATGGCACGATGTTTTCAAGGTCGTTCAGGTGAGCTCTGAGCAAGAAGATGAGAGTAAAATATGCATTTCAGATTCAGCAGAAACCTGTTGGTGTTCCCTTCTTCTGAAGGTAAATGTAGGAGTGCGTGGAGCTTAAAATGTAAAGTAAGCTTCATTTTATTTCTCTCCAATGGCTTTGCTTCCTTACTTGGCTGTTACTTAGAATATTTCATATTTTTGTTTCTTACCATTTTTAGTGTCTCTTGACAAATAACAGATAAGTCATTTTACACTTCTAAGAATATCAAAACTGAATTTATATAATGATACTCCATTATTTTTTCTTCAAAAGTTCACACATTTTTCAATTCGAAGAAAATCCTTTTAGATTATCTTTCTTAAGATTCCTCCTTCACTTCTGCTAGTTTGTGAAATGTTTATAAGACAGTCTTAGTCCATTCACCAAACCACAACATTGGCAAGATTTAATTGAGCAATTTAACATTAAGAATCTCATACTTTCAATATACCAGGCTACATAACTAGCTAACCAAATATGGGTAAAATTTCAGCCTATCTATCCTCATTACATAAGAAATTGGTTTATAGTAGTAGATCATGTTACAAAGTATGCATAAAAATGATCGACAACAAAGAGGAAGATAGATTTCTTAACTTTTGTCTTTATACCACAGCTAGAAGAAAGTAAAAAGAATGGGTTAGTCATAAGTTTCCCTCCAGGGCCCTCCCTGCTGGTTCAGAGAGCTAAAGCATAGCACTGCAAGCCAGCTGCAGCCACTTCAGAGTGAGTTCGATCCCCAGCCCCGGAGGTGATCTACATGGCACAGCACCTCTCCTGTCTGCTGCTCCCCTCAGCAGTGTATTTCATTGATCTGCCTACTATGCTCCCCACTCTGTCTCTAGTGAATCCTCTCACCGCCCCTGCATCTCTGGCCTACACCCCAGTTCCTAATGCATAAATAAATAAATCTTTCAAAATACTGAAATCATATTTAAAAAAAAACTAAGTTCCCCTCCAATTCACAACACCTTGGTCTTCTATGGCTAGGATTATGAATGCAAAGTACATCCATTACTGGTTTGATTTTTTTAAGTACCTAATTTTAAAATCTGATGTCCATAGCTTTAGAATCAAAAATCACTTCAGAATTTTTGTGGATATTGAGAGTTTGATAGCATTTATCAGCTGTTAATTAATACATACTTCAAAATGAAAATCATTCAATGTTATTTTAGTCTCTTCTCTTTTAGCAAAAAAAAAATTATTGCATTCTGCCACTCAGTAATCATTACCTTGCCTCCTTTCATTCCCTGTCTCTCCAAAATGATTTCGAAGATCTCCTGCCAAAGTGGACAACAACATAAAGATATGAAGAAAGTAACCTAGGTGGTTTGAAAGATTTAAATCAAGAACTACCAGTTCCTGAATAAATCAAAGACAGAGTGTGTAAGTAAGTGCTCCTTATCCCCTCTCAGCAACATAGGGGCTCCTGAGAATCATGTTGGCCAGAAAGAACAGACTCACTAGTGACCACTAGAGAAGAATCTATCCCAGTTATACAAAGGCATTTGCTTTGTTCCTCTTATTCTGTTGAACCACAGATACATTTCCACCCCAGCCCGGGTATTGTAGCTTCTCCCTCACAACATTCCAAAAGGACAGAAACATGCACTTCAGTTAAGAAAAGATAAAGTGAGACAATGTGGAAATAATGCCCATGTGGAAGTCTACAGTAAGCAACTGGCAAAAAGAATGCAGTGTTTAAACAGAAAAGAAAGGCAAGGGCATTAAGAGAAAGAGCTTCGTGGGGGAGGAGGGCAGGAAAGTCAGGGTTTCCTTTCACTTTATTGACCCCACAATTTGTTGCTAGCCTCCCTCTCTCCATCCTGTACCGCCTTTGCAATTTTCTCCTTTCTCCTTTTCCACTACTCCAGAAATCTTACAGATACACTCCTGATCGTCCTAATAAGGCATGTCAACGGTCCCTCATCCTTTCTGCTTAGTTATTTGATTTAAAAGCTGTCCTTTCTGGGCCCTGCCCTAAGCCTACACTTACCTCAGAAGCACCTGCTCTAGCTCAACATCACACATCCAGTGTAACCCTCTCTGCTCCGAGCACAGAGCTCACCTGATAGTGGCAGCTTCCTTCATTTTTATGCTATTTCTAGATGACTACTAAAATCTGCTGTTGGTGGATATTAATCTGTATGTGTGCTCCCCCCCCTTTTTTTTTAACCTGGGTCTACCTCTGAGTCCCAAGATTATGTGCCCCCACTTTCTTCTTTGGACAAACATCCATTGGTACAAGCTTGCCCTGCAGCAGGTCTCTCTTCCAGCTCTGTTGTGTGCTCTTGAGATTCCAGCCACACCTTCCTCCCTCACATCAGCATCACTGACATCTCAGCATGCAACTGACCAGGATCAGAGTTGCCAGGCTCCTTTGCGAAGGTTTCTCAAGGGTTAATGAGCAACAAAAGGAGTTTCACACAAGTCTTCTGACTCCCTCACCCTCCGCCTAGAATCTTCTGTCCAAATGTCCAGGAAGGAATTTTCCTAAATTGACACGATCTCTCCTCTCCAGTTTCTCCTACCAACTCCTACTAGCCTTCATGTTCTTCCTTCATGAAATACTCCTGTATCCTGGACATTATATTTCAACCCCCACAAATTTAATCCTAGTGGGAAACTACTTTACATCATTCTCTAATTACAACATGCTTTAGGAGACTCATTCTTAAAGTTCATTTACAGCATCTCAGCAGAACTGGTGACAGTGAGACACACACACACCTAGACACACACACAGTCATCTCCAAAAAATGATTCATTCATGCATAGGAGCTAGAAGGGAAGTCACTTACTCTAACTGCTAGCCCCACTGCTGTCCCTTGACACAATCCCCGGGACTAGCACCTAGACTCCGCTGAAGTTCTCAGTGAAGAGGTCTGCTCCTTCTGTGCAGGCTGTGTATTCTAAATGTCTTTTTTTCCCTCAATACCAAACCCAAGCCCTCAGTTATTTTTTCTTTCGAATGGTTTTCTTTATTTCTACAGCTGACCTGAATGCCTTACAACTTTCTTTTTATCTTGTTGTATTGACTGGATATACTCTTGAATTCCTTCTATAACAAGATGAGATAGAATTAAATAAACAGTTGATATGCATTTTAGCCATCACTGATTTGTACTTGTCCAAAACTCAACTTACAATTATCTAGGCTATTTACTATTACTCAGGGCATCTTACTCTATGTTTTAACATAATTGTCCATATATGTATGTGTTAATTTTCTGAATATAGCATAGCCTGGAAGCATGCCTGTTACTTCATTGTAGTCCCATTCAGTCCCTGGAATATGCTAATAATAAATGCTAATAATAACAACTTTACCTTACAAGAAAAAAAATTGAAGAAAAAAAATTAAAATGTCAAGATAAAAATAAAAAGAGATAATGGAAAATACACCTCTCAAAGGAATCTCCAAAAACAAATTGTTACTAGGAACTTTACTTTATATATTTACTTTATTTATGTGTGTGTGTGTGTGTATACACACACACATTTATTTAAAGCTTTTGTCATTTTGTACATTTTTTCATTTCAGCTATAATCCCCTTGGACTTCCCACCACCAATTCATAGGAATTTTTTTGATGAGGCCAGTAGGGCCTCAAAAATTGCAACAGGAAACCAGAACCCTTGTCTTTCTTGACAACGCTTCCCCACCGCACTGAGAAGCCAGTGTCTGATCACCAGGGGGCGCTGTGCACACAATCGCAGCTTCTCCTAGGGGACACCAACTCCTCACAACAAAGGTCAGCTGTTCTTACTGAAATGTTACTTATTTGTTCATGGCGACTGGGTCTGCTTATACAGAGTTTTTCTACTTGGGAAATAATATCTGATGGATATGGGATGGGTGGAATTAGGGGATGAGAAAGGAAAGTGGGGAAGAGCCTAAAATTCCAAAATAAAGTATTTTCTTGTTAAGTTTCTCACAATGGACTTGCATCTCCTTTCAGTCTTACCAATAGAACTGAGGGTTAAACTGTTATCACCTTCAAGTCCAGGCACTTTTACGACCATAGGGTCATGATTGGCATCATCTGAGACCCTGCCTACGACGTGATGCACAGAAAGGACAAGATAAAGCTTTAAAGTGCTTAATGTCTTCCTAGAGGTTGTGGTAACCCAACAAACCTTTATTCATCTTTGCCAATTGCTAATGCTTTTTATCATATTAATATTTATGATTTCTTTGTTTTTAACTATTTTAGATCCATATTCTTGGCATAAATTTTAGCACTAACTGACTGACTTAGTAGGACTCCCCCATGAGCAAACATGTAACTAAGTAAAGCAAAAGTGAAAATTATATTCTATCTACACACTTTCTCTTAGAAGAAAAATATTCCCACATGATAAATAACTTGGGGATAAATACTTTTGCATTTAATTTTGGTACTGGCAGAGCAGAAGAGTCTATGGGACAAGCATCCATAAAATGATGTAACTCTGGGCGCTCCCTGGTGGCGCAGTGGATTGAAGCACAGCACTAAGAAGCTAAAGTCACTTTAGCATGAGTTCAATCCTTGCCCCAGAGGTGACCCACATGGTGTGGCAGACCTCTCCTGACCTACCCACTCCTCCCTCAGCAGTGTACCTCATCAGTCAGCCTGTTATGCTCCCCACTCTGTCTCTGGTGAATCCTCTCACCACCCTTGTTCCTCTGGCCTGTACCCCAGTTCTTTAAAAAAAATTATGTAACTCTGCATATTACTTAAAGTAAAGAAGGCACAGTGCAACCTTGCCAGTGGAAGGATTTGGAGGACACTGTCAGTAGACAAAGCCTATCATACAAGTTGAACAAGTTGTTCAGTTCTCAGTAAGTCTGCGAGGTGGTATTGACTATAGTCCTCCCCTTTGAACCTTCATCAAGGAGCCACCAACAGTAAAGAAGGCAGATCAGACAAACACGAAGGTTTGACAGGCAACCAGATACAGAAGCCAGGCTGTCTGGCAAGTTTCATCTCCTAATGATGCCATTCCACTCTGTCAAAACTTGGAAAAGTGGTTGTTTTACTTAAAGCATAAAAACTTACACGGAGAGGCCCTTCCTAGTGGCGCAGCTGGCTAAAGCACAGCACTGAGAAGCTGAGGCCACTTAAGCATGAGTTCAATCCCTGCCCCTGAGGTGATCCACATGGCGCAGCAGACCTCTCCTGATCCTCCCACTGCTCCCCTCACCAGTGTGCTTCATTGATCTGCCTGCTTTGCTCCCCACTCTGTCCCTGGTGAATCCTTTCATTGCCCCTGAACCTCTGCCCTGTACCCCAGGTCTGTATGCATAAATAAATCTTAAAAAAAATACTTACACAGAGAGTCTCAAGTAAAAGAATGCTATAATACTACAGAGTTTGATGAAATAGAGACACAATTTACTTGAAAGAGTTCAAAGTAATCATCACAAGATGTACACCAACATCAGAAGAGCAGTGCATGAATAAAATGCGACCATCAATAGAAATGGGAAATATAACAATATCAAACAAAAACTATAGAGTTAAAGAATTAAGATTTAAAAATCCAACAGAGGGCCTCAACAACATATTAAATCAAGCAGAAAAAAAAGGATCAACACACTTGAAGTCAGGGAAGAATTGATCCAATGAGAAAAGAATATAAAATGATCAGAGTGAAAATAGCTTAGGAAAATTATAAAATCCCATCAACATGCCAATATATGCACTATATGAGTTCCAGAAGTAAAGGAGAATAGAGAAAGAAAGTTTCTTCAAAGAAATAATGACTGAGAACTCATATAACCTAGAGAAAGAAACAGACATGCAGATTCTGAAAGTATAAAAAAAATTATCCAGAGGAGAGCCACATTGAAACACATTCTAGTGAAAATATCAATAGCTAAAGACAAGTAGAGAATCTTAGCAGCAAGCGAAAAGTAACTTCATAAGACTAACAACAGGCTTTTTTTTTTGTTTGTTTACCAAAAATTTTTCATGCCAGAAAAGAGGTGGATGATATATTTAAAGTGCTGAAAGGAAAGCTGTCAACAAGAATAAGAGAATTCTTTATACCCAGCAACACTGTCTTTCAAATTTGAAGAGATAATTAATTTTAACAAAAGAATTTTACATTTCACCATCTCTAGATCAGCCTTACAAGAGATATTAAAGCTAGCTCTTCAAGCTGAAATGAAAGCACGTAATTAGTAATAGGAAAGAATATGAAAATACATAATTCACTGTTAGAGGTAAATATACCATTTAAATTCAACATGTTCTAGTAGAATAATGGTAGGTAAATCATTTATTATTCTAGAATGATTTAAAAGGCAAAACAATTTAAGGTAGTTATAACTACAATAATTTGTTAATAGACACTCCACATATCAACACATGGAATACGGGAAATGTGTAAGAATGCACATTTGCATGTATCCAAAGTTAAAATTTTACTAGCTTAAAATAGACTGCTGTAAGTAAAATATGTAGTATGCAAACATGTGGGTAACCACAAGGTAAAAATATATAGTAACTACACAAAAGATAAAGAGAGAGGAATCAAAGCACACCATTAAAGAAAAATCATCAAAATTTGTTCCTCAATAGAGGAACAAACACACTTAAGAATCAGAAAACAAGGGGAAAATGGCAGAAAGAACATACTATCAATTATTTCATTAAATAAAAATGAACTAAAATCTCTAATCAAAAGGCACAGCATTACTGAATGGATGTAAAATGAGACCCAACATGATGATGCATACACAGACTCAATTTAGCTTTAAGAACACACATAGATGGACATTAAAAATATGGAAAAAATATTTCATGTAAATGTAAGCAAATTCAAGCAGAATAGCTATACAGCTGACCCTTGAATAACACAGGTTTGAACCTGTGGGTCCAAGTGGACTTAACAGATATTTATAGAACATTTCATTCAAAAGCAGTAGCATATATGTTATTCTCAAGTACATGAGGAACACTTTCCAGGACAGATAGTCATAAAACAAGCCTTAATATATTTAAGAAGCTTGAAATTATATCAAGCATCTATTCCAACCACAGCAGCATGGAATTTGAAATCAATTTTAAGAAGAAAATTAGAAAATTCACAAATATGTGGAGATTTAACATCAAGCTACTGAACAACAAATAGGTCAAATAATAAATCAGGGGAAATTAAAATATATCACAACATTTAAAAACTATAGAAGTAACAAACGCACATCTAAAAGGTAAGTTTATAGTCACAAACACCTATATTAAAGAAAGAAGAACCATCTCAAATAAACAACCTAACTCTATACCTCAAGAATGTAGAAAAAGAACAGATGAAGACTACATTTAGTAAAAGGAAGGAAATGGCAAGATCAGAGAATAATTAATAGAGACCAGCGAAATAATAGAAAAGATCAAGGAAATTAAGAGCTGGTTTTAATTAAAAGAAAAACAAACTGGACAAACTTTTTTCCTGGCTAGACTTGCCGGGAAAAAAAAAAAAGAAAGAAAATTCAAAAAATTCAATAGAATATAATTGAAAATTCTAGCAGATATCACAGAAGTATGAAGGCTCAGTAGAGACTGCTATGGGCAATATACAAATTGGGCACTCTAGAAGGAAAGATAAGTTCTTAAAAATGTACAACCTAGCAAGATCAGTGATAAAGAGAGTGTGACCAGACCATTATTAGAGGATTGAATAGGTAATAACAAACAAACAAACAAAAAACCCTAACAACAAAACTCCAGTACCAGCTGGCTTCACTGGTGAATTCCAACAAACATTTAAAGAAGACTTAATATCAATCCTTTTCAACCTCATGCAAAAAACAAATAGAAAAAAAGAAAGAAAGAAAGAAAACTTCCACATTTATGACTGATGCCAGAGACAGACAAGGCCACTCTATGAAAAGAAAATTATAGGTCAATATCCCTGATAAACATAGATACAAAACTTCTCAACAAAATATTAGCAAAGCAAACCCAATAGTTTAATCCACTGAGATTTTGAAAGAGATCGCATTGAGTCTGTAGATCGTCTGGGTACAATACTATGTTGAGTGGATAAAGAAATCTTGCCACTTGCTACAACCTCAATGAACCTCGAAAGTATGATGCTAACTGAAAAAAACACAGAACAAAGACAAATACTGCATAAACTCACATCTATATGGGATCTGAGAAGGAAAAAAATGTAAAGCTCATAGAAATAAAGAGCAGAAAAGTAGTCATCAGGGACTAAGAGTAAATACAGAGACTAGTAAGAATATAAATTTCAGTTGTAAGAGGAGTAATGTCTGTGGATCTGAAGTGTAATGTGGCAACTACAGTTAGCACTGCACTGTATAACTGTGGAGAATAGAGCTGAAATGTTCTCACCATAAAAAAAATAAATATGTGTGGTGATGGATGTCTTAACCAACTCCATGGGAGGATCCTTTCATAATAGATATGTAAATGAAATCATGACGCCCTACACTTTCAATGTCTTACCATTTTGGCTTACTTCGGTGAAGGTGAAAGATATTTTTTTTTCAATTTACATGACTTTATGACAAGGCTTATGACATCAAAAACTAGGGTCCACCATGATTTTAAAATAAGTATATTCACTGTATTGTAAGAGACTGTGTAGATTAAACAGACTTTGAGTACACCAAACTTATTATCTACAAGGAGAGAAAAGAGAAACTCCCAAGTTCATATTTTTCATCATATGCAAAAAATACCTATTCTTAAACACTAGCTCTGGTCAAAGATGACAAGACTACAATATCTACTGATTACCTATGTGTGACTACTTTTTATATACCTCTCTACAGAACAAAATCACTAGCCTCAACAAAATGCCTATAAAATATAGCAAAATTTGATAGTCTGCAATTACAGCAAGAGTTTAGAGCTCTAATTTCTTATGACGATTATGTAGACTAGGTAAGATGACTGATTTTTCTTTCTTCTTCAAGACCCCAACATTCTCACTGAACTCCTGTCCAAACTTTTTGATGGAGAATATAATTGCAGGAGATAGTGGGTTTACCTCCGTACACGTTCCACTCTGTCATCTGTCCGAAGGTACTTCTTGGCATTTTCTCCTTTGCCAAAGCTTGCACAGTCTTCTGGGTTGGCAAAAACCTATATCAAATACCAAGGGGTAAAACCTATTTCAAAACCAAATAACACAAGAGTATCTTACTTCACAAGTTATTTGCATTTTAATGGAAGAAATGTGGGCATTCAGATTGGTCTTAATGGAAAGATAACTTGAAGCAATAGATCAAACACAGAAAGATAGGAGAGAATCTATAGTTTAAACTTGAGTTTTTATTAGCAGTGTGAAATTTTTAAAAGAGAGAAACATAAATCAGGATTTAGATTAAAACCAATCTATAAAAATAGTGAAAAGGAGAAAAATGGAAAAAGAACCTAGTTCTTAGTCACCACCACCAACTGTTCCTGTGGCAAGGTGGCAAGGTTTCCTAGTGATGTTGATGCACTTTCCCTGCGGGGTATCAGCATTTCCAATCCATTAGCTCATTTGAAAGTCTTGCATTTTCTGCCAAGGATATTCGGGAATAGGCAAGAGGCATAGACAGTAAAAGGCAGAGTATTATGGAAGTGATGAGAAGCAGAGGGTAAAAGGCAGGAAATGTATTTGGTACTTTGTTGTTACCACTTCTGATTTTCTGAATTAACTCAATCTTTGGGTTGAAGAATACAGTGAAATATATGTGATTTTATTACTTTCCTTTAATACCATGTACTCATTTCAGGCAAATATTCATGTATTCCTTCCTGCAATTACTGGGCTGTTTGAGGTGATTTCCCATTCCTGAGACTTGAAACATGCATTTAAAAAATATTTAAGCATGTTCCACTGTATAATAATATATAAGTTGAACTACAAAGTGGCCTTAATGTAAGCTGAAATATCTCAAAATAGTATAGCTTTCTTAACATAAGCATTTATTTGAGATAAAGAAGTCGTGAGGAGCCAATGGGCAGGGATGTGATTCCGTATCAGCTGTTGAAGTCAGGTCTGTCTCTCTTGTTCCCTAAATAAATGCCAGCACATACTGGATACTCAATAAATATATTTTGAATATGTAAATAAGTGTGTTAAAGTGGAAGTGTACCAGATTGGGTATAAGCCAATCTGAATTTGAGTTTTTCAGCCTCACGCTTTTGTGATATATAATCTTGGGTAAACTATAACTTCTGTGACTTTGAGTTCCTCATATATAAATGGGGAGACTGACACCAGTTTACATAATTCTGGCAACTATGTGAAGTGAATCCATTATCTGGTGCACAGACAGCTCATGGCTCCTGGCACACTTCACTGGTACTCCACAATTTTTAATTAATAACTTTTCTTAAAGATGATTTTTATGTATTTATGCCTATAAGAATTTGGGTGTAGGCCAGAGGTGGGGGTGGTGAGAAGATTCACCAGAGACAAAATGGGGAGCAGAGCATGCAGATCTACTGAAATACACCACTGAGAGGAGCAGCTGGCCAGATAGGAGAGGGCTGCCGTGCCCAGTGGGTCAGCTCCCTGGCTGGGGATAGAACTCATGCTGAAGAGGCTGCCCATAGCTTGAGAGCACTGACTTTAACACCCCTGAGCTACCAGAGAGGCCCTGAATTAACTTCTTTAATCAATTCTGCTCTCTTTGGTGCCACTGCTGTTCCCAGAGGGCATAGCCTGCTGCTCTAATGCCTTGTCACATTAGAAATTTAAATAAGTGAATAAGTGAGTATACAGCTCTTTAAATGTACATATCCTTGGGAAGCAACTATACCTCAAGGCAGCAAAAGGAAAATATCTCAGAGAGGATTGTGATCTCTGGATCAAAGCAGACTCCAGCCAACAAAGAAAAAAGAAATAGGGAGTTTCCAGGAAGAAGTTGTTGCCTAGACACAGGTACCACGTTGCTGAAAATCTTTGACCTGAACCCCTTCACTGTTTTATAAACTCTTCTGAGTACAAGGCATAGCCTCCACAATCTTTCTACCACCTTCTATAGGCCTATGTGTTTTTAAAAACATCATTCTTATAATGCTGGGAGACACATTATCATTTTAAGAATTACACAAAATTACATGCCTCATAAGGGACTCTATTATGGAAACAAACTTTAATTCTGTCCCCAAAAGTATATCTTTGACCTATCATAGAGTTGAAAATACTAGCTGTCTGGAGAATGATTACTTTTTAAACCTTAGTTGGGGAAATTAAAAATCACAGAGTTTCCTTGAAAATGTCCATATTTCTAAAAACTTGTATGCTGAGCAGCATTACGAAAAAGTAAAAGCTACAAGAAAAAAAATTTAGTAGTTTCAGAGAGAGAGCAACTCATCCATAAAGTAGTAAATTTAGTGGCGTTTCCACAATAGCCAAATCATAGAACAAGCCCAATACACAACAACAGCTGACTAGATAAGGAACGTGTGGAATATATATTGAATTGCTCAACTATTGCCTCCTCAATTACTGACAAAATGGAGTGATCGTGAGGTCATTGTGCCAAGAAAAAAAAGAAGTCCAAAACTAAAACAATTGCCAGCTAGTTGCACTCATTTGTGATAATAATTCTTAAATTCTGGGGAAAATGTACTGGTTAGCAGAGGAGATGAGAGAGGAGGGGCAGGAGGAGAGGGCAGGGTGTGGGCACTGAGGAGAGTAGACTCCACTCATTTGGAGGTGTGAGAGTGTTATTTCAAAATTACCTAGATCTAGAAACACTTAGTAAACCTATGTAAATAATAAAGGGAAAAGAAAACTGTCTCCCAGAATTCCAACTCTTAAAAGTAAGAAAACACTGCGTCATGCATCTTACCTTTCTTGTTACTCTATAAAATGCAGTTGCAGTGCTCATGAACATCATTTTTGAAAGCACAATGGTTGTATAGGAGGCAAAAGCCATGAACACTTCATTTTCCATCAGCTGGGAGATGTCAGCCATTTTTTCAGTGTTGGTCTGGGATCCTAAATATGACTATAGACAAGACAGGAAAAAGTAGAGTTTATAAATAACCCATAAACTCACTAGCCACTTGGTATGCTTATATTGCAGCATTAACTATACTGTTCTTTAAAATAGCTTGGCTTATTTGCAGGAAAAAAAATGATCATTAGAACTTCAAACTAAATAGTATTATGTATCATTAACTTTGAAGACATCAAACAAGTATGGAGTGACAATGAAAATGTAAGGAGTAGTACAAACAAAAATAAACAGGCAAAAAAAAAAACCATATTTTTGCATCAAGATGAAGCGCACGAGTGTTGACTAGAAATGCCAGGAAGCTAAAATATGTCCTGCTTCAGAAAGCCAAGCTCCAAGATGTGAATTCCAGCCCCAATACTTACTTGATCATTTAGCCTCTCGAAGACTACATGTCATCATAAGATGCAGTAGTTTCTCACTTACAGGATAGTTGTCAGGATTTAATTGATACATGTGGAAGGTATTTAGCACAGCACATGACTCAGGAAAACCCTCATTAAAGTTTAGTTTATCCTTATCATGATCATCATTATCACCATGATCGGGCAACATTAATATCAACACAAGAGAAGAAGTAAAAGCAGGATAATGGGGACATAAAATCACAGGCTGACAAATACAAGTTAAGAAATAGACATTTATAGTACCGTCATAAAAAAAAAGAATAAAGCAACAATTAGCTTCATTTAACTCTTTAGGCTACTTCATACTGCATTGAATGTAACCGAGTCTGGAACTGAAATTATAATAGAAAATGTTCTTAGGGGGAAAACTAAGGCTTTTAATGTGGGTGGGAACTTAGGGTAGAACTTAAAATTTAAACTCCCCCCAAGATCTGGCAGTCATTCTTCTTAATCGTCTCTTATATTATCAGCCCTGCTATTTGCTGCGTCTCTCTCTTCCACAGAAACACAACCTTTTCTTACACCCATGCTTAAGTGCTATTTAACTTGCTTAGCAGAGAGCACGTCTCTTAGAGGTGATGTCCATTCCTGCCTTTAAAACTCTATTCTTGTATTGGGTGTAAATCCTCCCATGCTCTCAGGTAGCTCTCTGAATAGTCGAAACAGCATCGGAAAAGTCAGCAAAAGAAAAACAATTTAATGACATATGCCTGGAGAATTTACACGGTTGTAGATTCTAAAGAATAATGGAGTATACTATAAATATTTGTCCTACATTTTGGGACTTGGGGCACCAAGGAAAAAGACACCTGACAGCAAGGAGCAGGTGACCTCAGGCTCATACCCAGAATAAAGACGTGATTTTTAGAGGCAATGTTTGCTGACACACCTAGATCTGGTTGAGATCTTCAAAGTAAATTCTCTTAGGTAATAAAAGAGGGAGCAGTGACTGCTTCTTCTATTGAGAAAAGGGACAGAAACTTAGGATGTGATCATCTTCTTCCATTAGGGAAGTCAAAAAAGTTAGGCAAGGCCAGATGCTGCTCCTAACTTTCAGACCCTTGCTTCTTCCAACATGATTTTTTAAGTAATAGAAACAGCTTCCTTCCCACTCCCCCACATCTGCATGAACATCTGCAAGCAGTCTTACTCAACTAATATCTATCAAACTGTGATCATTTATCCATCAGCAATAATCCCCAAATTTATGTATTTTTCTGTACTGGCCATATAGCTGTCTATGTGTTACTGTTGGATATGATCTAAATCACGTATGTACATATGCATTTAATTTCATGTATTAACTATGTGTCCAAATATGTACTTTATATATTTATATATGTGAGACTTTATGCCTCATGTAGTCTTCATAATGTAACATCATGGTTCTCACCACCATGTTCATTTTACAAATGAAAAAAAATGGGAATTAGAGAGGTTAAGCAGCTCAGCTGGGACACAACTCGGAGTCTCTGGTTCCACATCCCATCTACTAAGCACCGTTCATTTTCTTTTTTCAAGAGACTGCAGACTGCTTAATTCAGAGGCAGCTAAACAGGGGCTGAAGGATCAGTGATGCTCCTGGCACTCCTACCTTTTAATTATGCCAGGAGGTAGGCACCATTATTCCCCTTTGGCAGATAAAGACACCCAGCCTCCCTAGTGACCCCTGTTTTAAAGGACAGACTAAAAATGTAATCCTTCACTTCAGGCAAATAAAAACTCTATATTTTAGTTTTAAAAAACAAAACACACATAACAAGTAAATCGACCCCCAGAGTGAGGCCCCTTGAAAGCACAGGGCATTGAGTAAATTTTCAGAGCTAGGTAATACTCCTAAGAGCATATAATGAATCTACTCTTGATGAAAGACAAAATAAACTGTACTATTCTTTCCAGCTCATGAAAAGTAATTAAATTAATAAGGGATCTGAATAAGGATTCGGAGAAACACAGTGGGAATGACAATAAAAAAAAAGTTAAGAATCATTTATCAAGATGGAAGTGTCACTATTTATTAATAATTTCAAAATTCAAACAGTTTCTAGGGGTATCTACTACCATTCCCAGAATTAAATTCATTTAATAATGGAATAAATCCAGATACTGTTTTTCCCTCAGTGAAAATTGAAAATGTAGGAAATAAGTGGAAGCTTTCCAGAACTGTGGTGAGAACAAAACAGAGATGTCAGCAACTGGAGGAAAAGAGCAGTGGAAGGCTTTTTCTTTAAATGTGAACCGCACATTGCAAGGGCATTTCACAGAGAGAGTTTCTCAATCACCAGGAATGTGGCTAAGCTCCTCAGGCCTGTGGTCTGGGAGATGGGCCAAGGCTGAGCTTCTGGCATCACACACTCCAGTTCCAAGAACCGCCTCTCTGGGTCCAGCACTCCCAGCATCCCTGAAGGCCAGGAGAGGAGGAGTAAAGGTAAAACACCAAAGGTAAAACACAAAAAAGGAAAATCTTTAATGGAGTAAGGTGATGGTCTGGACTTGTTTTTTGGCAGATGATTTGTCAATAAGTTGCCTAGAGTTTGCATCATACCTGATCACTGCAGTCAAAATAAAAATTACTGAAAAGTTTTTTGTCAAGGAAGAGGAGAACAGTAGTAATTATCAAGAGGGAAGATGATTAGAGCATTTGAGGATTAGGAATGAGGATTAGGAATCTAGGCTAAGTAAGCAGAGAAAAAAAAAACATAAAACTTAGTTAAAAATCATGGACAAGGAAAGTAGACATTGCCTTGTTCCCTTTCCTGCCCATCATCGACTGGCATGGGGGAGAATGTCCATCTATCTGGGCATAGTCCGGGGTCCAGTTCTTGCATGGGGAGGTAAATCCCTTTGCCAGGAGCACAAAGAGCAGAGCACTGAGCACTAGCCTGCAGGATCTCGCCCTGCCACTGCGTGTTGTGATTTACTTGCTCTGGAGCCTCACTCACCCCACCCGTACAATGAGGTAAATGATACCTCTACCTCACAGGTTTCTTGCAAACATTCTTGTGAGCATTACATAAGTAACGTGGAAAGTAGTTAGCAGAGCACTGGACCCATGCAAACTTAGAAAAACTGGGAAAATTCGTAAGTTCCTATTTTGGCGCTGTCCCAGCCACTCAGGATACAGCTTTAAATTTTGAAAAAAACTTTTACATTGTTCTGAAAATCTCTAAGGTAGTCAGAGCAAATATTACTGCTCTCTTTAACAAGAAAGCCAACTGAAGGCTGGGAAGGTAGAGTGAGTGAATTGACCTAAGTTCCCAATGAAGGGCCCAAGGCTGGAACCCAAATTTCTCAAGTGTTTAGTTCATGGGCTAGTCACCATCAAGATTAAGAATTCCAGACAACTCTGACCTTCTGGGGGCCTTTTTCTGTTAAATTCCATTTTTATCTTTTGTACCCCCTTCTCCCACCCAGCCCCCAGGAGTACTATCATAGTTGAATCTCATCAGAGGAACACTCCCATGCTCTTTACAGGCTCTTGGCCAAAAGGAGCAAAGTCCTCTTCTTTTGTAATGGTTGCCTCTTTGTGTCAACACTGAAAAAAACAGGGGAAAAAAATGGGCACATATCCTCAAGGCCATGACTCTGCAATTTTGTGTCTTTTGGAATCAACTCAAATGAACCATGAGATAAAGGGGGTGGGGGGAAATAGGTGATATCTTGTTTATTTGTTCTAGAATTTCATGGCCACTTAAGACTGGGCCTCCTGTGCATCAGAGCTCAGGGGCAGGGAGCAAACAGCTGATGGCTCTGGGAGTGCTGTGTGTGAGGCAGTTCTCAGGGGACCCTGCTGACTTCCTCTTCCAGTTTCAGTGATTAAGAAACTCTACTCTAAAACACAAGCTTATAGAAAAACTGTACTTCATCTGCCACAGAAAGCAAATTTTCAAATTTGGATCAACTTACCATTTTCAAATAAGACCAAATTTGATCAACATATACAATCCAATTATTCTGGGAACAACAAAGAACAGCAAAGCCCCAGACTACTCAAACGCCCAGGAACCAAAGCCCCCAGGGGGTTGCAAGAGGCACTAGGTATTTCAGCTGCCCAAGGTGCTGGGGACTCTAGGCTTGACTGAGTAAAGGCTCTTTGCTGGGGACCTGGGCAAGTTTCCAAGACTCTACCTCAAGGCTGGATTAGAGACCACTAGGCACTCACTTGGAGAGAAAGCAACAGGGGAAGGAGGCAACAAACCTTGGCAGTGATCTCCCAGGAGGCCTTGGGACTAGTTCAAGGGGAGGGGGGAGAAGGTTTCTCCCAAACATTGAGCTCCCAAAAGTTCCCTCAGTCCTTTATTCTTTCCAGGAGACTCCCCCACCAGGCTAGGGAGCTGAGTACCTTGCAGGGAGTTCCAGCCTTAGCTTTCACTCCTCTATAATAGTATCACAGGGTCTAATCCATACCCCCTGTACTTTGTCCGTTATTACTATTGCCATATAAATAACTAGTGATATTTCCAATTTGCCTATCTCAGTAAACCCAAAAGGATCAAGAGCTCTCTTTCAGTAGTACAAAGTTCACTATGTCCAGGAAATTAGAGCAGCTGCAGGATTTTATACACTCGGGGTGAACAAAAGAGGCTTAAAGGATACACACTTCATTTTATCACCGCCATTTGCAGGTACTCTTTATGGGCACCCCTCCGCCTCCCCACCCCACCCCCAAGCCCGGCCGGGAGGAGGAGCTCGCGATTGCTCAGGTCC